GTGCTATAATTTAGGCAAATCCAGGTGGTTCATACAACAATTTCCTTATTAATTTCGAATGAAATGCTGCATCTTTCCGCTCGATGAACATTGGTTACATTAACATAAACATCGACATAATTCGAATGGTTGTTCTAGCATAATTTCCACACATAAGTATGAGGGTAGGTCTTATCATTAGTTAAATGTATTCAGTTGTGGAAATGCAGAAAGAAGCTTTCATTGTACATCCTTTTTCTGACTGCAAAAGAAACATATTTGGGATCTGTTTTTTATGAGCCCTTTAGATGAAAAAGAGAATATTGTCACTAATCAAGCAATGTGACAGGAATATTCTGTTCAGTGATACAAAATAACAACATTTGTCAGTCAATATTTACCTTATTGTAAATGTTCATCAATATTTTATTTTGTTTTCGTTATTTATCCATCCTAGTATACAAAACTTCATTCACTTCAAAGTTACACGCTAATTAACAAAAACAATTTGAACAGCAATCATCCATGAAATAAAGGCAAACAAATAAAAGAACGAGAGTGTAAAAGAAATAAATTACTAACTATCAAATCTGTTATTAGTTATCGAAACTTGGCATAAAACTAGGTCGCACTCACCACAAACGGGTGAGCGAAGAGTGCATACAGTTGAGAATCTCATTTCACAGTTAAACAACTAATTTATAGTAGTGGACTTTGTTTAAAAGAAACCGGATTTCTTTTGGAAGCATAACATTTATCGTGTTTTGTTTCTGCAATCTATAAATAGTGGTAGATAGAGTGAGGATAAAATATCATAATTCATACTACTGCACAGGCAACTCAAAGATGATGCTTCTGTACGTAAAATACTTCAGTGAATTAATTTTCTTCATAGCAGTCAACTCGTTACTATTACTTGTTTGAAAGGTGAAATAAAATTCTTCTCTTTAGGCTACGAATTACTGACAAGCCGTAAAAAATTACAATGCACACACTAGTATATAAGTAACAGCCTAACAAAATATTTTAGTGTTAATCTCTTAATTGGCAGTCCCATTTCGATAAGCATGACCGTTGTTTTTTTATTTAAATCATCATTCCTTAAGATCTGAGTGGAACATAGGGCTTCAACAACCAGTCCTCCTCAGCTGGCCACCGGATTGTCTTTAGACTTTCATCTCCTTACACGATCTCTTCCGTGTCACCCTACGACGCTCAACTCGCCGATGCTTACTTGTACTTCACTCGAGGACCTGGTGTGAGGTGTAACCTGACGGTCTTCTCAGCGTGTGTTCAATCCATCTCCATTTCCTTCAGCATTTTTCTTTAGTAATGAATAATTACTAATTTAAGGCATCTTTGAAGCCAAAACCTTTTCAAATATGATCAAAGGTTGGTTGATTTTGTATTCAAAACAACAGGAAAACAATTTCTTTCTGAATTTTCAACACTCACGTCATGTCAGTGCTTCTGCATGGTTCAGAGACTCAGTGAGCGTGCAAAGAAAAGTGTTTCCAACATGTTTCAGACTGCTGTATACAGCTGCATCCACTGGCTCGATACTTAAGACGACATGGGCAGAAAGAATAAACATGAATAAATTCTAACCATGAATGAGGCAGGTAACTACCCCTCAATAAATGTGCTGAATGAAATAAAGATGTATCAGACATACACTGTGGAGACATTCAAGTGACATAGCATGCCAGACCCTTGGGTGAAAACCGAATAGACATCGAAGTGTGGCATGATAGACGTCGTGTGAGGAGGAATTAAGGGCTAATAGACAAATGTGGAGCCAACTAAAAAATATTAGAGAGAACACTGTCAAATAGTGATTTTCTGCTGACGCTTTATAATCCACTAGAAACCTAACGAATAAATAAAAATAGTTTGATCGGCCTATAGCGAGTTCTGAATAAAAAGATATCTTTTCCCAGTAAATCGTAAGTGCTACTGTTGTTAAATACGTAACATTTACTTCTTCGATATTAGTAAAACTAGATGTGTGCATTTTACTCGAAATTATGGGAGCTATCATCTGGTTATTATGGAAGCGTATTCTGAGTATGATAAAAACTGTTAGAAATGGACTGGCATATCATCATTTCTACCATTTCATCAACAAAATCTGATGCATCTCCTGCAAACATAACAAAATATCTCCTATGAATTGGATGAGCGGTTATGAATACAAAACTTATATTTAACTCAATCGGAAAATGATTTCTTTCTTTTGTAATATATTTAATGAGTGACCTTAAATCCCTATGATAATGTTTCTGACCTGAAGGTTAATAATCTCTTGCAGCTTAATTGATGCACTATAACAGTAACACAAAGGCATATATGCATCGTGCTTCATTTAGATGCATGAATATTTTGGATCATAACTTTTTACTAATATATATGATAAACACTTAGCGTTTTTTGTTTTAACCCATAGTTAATCCTTTCGTGATAGAAGTAGCTTTGGAAATCTTTCCATCAGCTTGCCCTATAGATAACTCTAAAAGACATGACTGAAGAAACAAATGTTTTACCTTTTAATTCAAAACAATAAATTCCCAACAAATGTCTATACTTGCTCTTTTACTATGACTTCTTTAAAATGTTAATAATTCGCCAGTTTTGCGAAACATGTTTTGTAAATGTGCTGAACAAGTAACTGACTACATAACCGTATACACGCTTATCCACCAGACTGAAGACAACTCAACTTTAAAAAAACATTAATTGTCAAGAGTAATTAAAAGTGAAATGGTATTGAATGAATAGGGGAAATTAGTACAAAAGCGTATATCGAAATGGAATTTTTCCATTGCATTAAGAGCTTCCATTGAGTGAATTTTAAAGAGTAACCATATCGCGTAAGGCAGAAGTATTTTATAAAATCTGCAAGGCTTTAGAATTATTCGTTTTCGCTTACAGGAGGAATATATAGGCATCTTGACAGCGAAAATGTTTACTTCACAAATTCCAACAAAAATAACTTATAAATTCATAACTGTATTGTGTATTTTTTAAATTTCCCAACTTATATTAGTTACAGAAAATTCCTCGCTGCGACTATGATACAAAAATTTCCATTTCCATCAGTGAAACCACTGGTGAATATTTATTTAGTCATTATTATTTTATGAACAGTTTTGAAGTCAGAATGTAAATTGTACACTGTATTCTGCCTTCAAGTAAATTACATTAACTCTGACTTTTATATCAGCATAGTAGAGAAAGTCACAGCTTTATAGACTCAAGTATCGAAGATAGTCAATATGTTTTATCTGTCAGACTCATTTGGAAGAGGTTAAGTACCTGCAACGCAGTAGTTCAATTCTGATTACAATAAAGTATCCTAAGAAATGTTTTGTGACAATGTTTAAAAATAGCAGTCATTTAAAACTGTTCATAAAATGTTTTGATTTTACATTTCTCAAAAGTTTAATAAATAATATGTAAATAACTTCAGTAATGTCTGTTATTATGAACATCATAATGTTCCTTCTCATGGAAATAATTGAGGAATGAATTTATCCAAGAAATAATTTTATAGAATACTGCATAGGTTTTATTCCAAAAAACTTTCAAGGATTCGTGTAGCAGAGTCGAGGAACACTCAGTCACTTCTTTTTAATTGGGAATTTGTGTTGCTTAATGTGCATTAGTTTATTATTATTAGGCCTAATCTACAAACTGTCACTGCTTATGTATATGTATATACATTAAAAACAACGCTCTAATTTTGTGTCAAAGATACCACCAAAGAGTCTACAGATATCTTCTCTCTGTACGTTGACAGTCAGTTAATATTCGGATTTGCTCCACTTGATCCTATCTGATAATAAATAATTTAAACTATTTCAAAGTGCCTGTCAGCCATGAAGTTCCCTGTCACTAACTTTTTACGGCAAGAAAATATGCAGACAATCGATTTAAAGCATTTTATAACTTTTCCCAGTATGACAAAACTTTCACACAGACTTCTGAGTGCTTATTCGACTGTCATTTTTGTGGACCAATCAATTAGAAATTATGGAACATATATTTCAGGCAAAATGAATCATTTTTTTGGTTAGAAGTAAAAGTATTCATTTGTCATTAAACTACATGCAAAAATTTGGCTGTCTATTAGGCTTTTATTCATAGAATCAGATAAATTATCTGTAAATTTATAATCAGATGTGGTTCCCCTTTCCCGTGAGAAAGCTGCAAACTTCAGGTAATGTTTTCATTTTGATTGGTCCAGATTTCAAATTCAAGTTAAATCATCAGTTAGTCATATCAATATATAAGCAGCATACTGACAGAATCTCAACCGTAATCAGTAACTGGTCTTCTTATTTAATCTAGTTCCATAGGGGATAGAAATAATTAATTATGAAATTAATTAATTATGAAAATTAATTATGAAGATAATTTGAGATGGCAAAAACGTGATGTCGGTACTACTCATTCTAGCGACACATAGTAGTGGAAATGAGATAACATAAGAAATTGATTTCATCTGTACATATGTTGGAATCCCATGTCTGAAAGTTTGAGTTCCTTGAGTACTAACAAAAGCTATTTATTCTACGTGACTACATGCCAAACTGTTGCCATAAAATAAAACATTTTTATGAAAATTTATAATTCGATATTGGAAGTAGACATCAGAGCTGAAAAGCTTAATGAGATCATTTCGGTTTACTTCCAGATTTGACGGACAGAGATACGAAGAAATAACTCCAATGAATGCATGTCTAGAAGGAAAAAAAGCAACTTATCTTTCATCCAAAATGTTTATCAGTGAAACTAACATCTGAATCTCCTTATTTCTAAACCTGCTGTACAAACTTCTGAACAGCACATTTAACCGGTTATACTAAAATACATGCATTATTCGATTAGCAGGTGATAAAATGTTAATAAATATACGCCTAAGAAATTATTAGTGTCATGAAAACACTAGCACCTTGTTTTAATCTGTGTTTCACACTTTACAAATTAATTATTTCGGCTTGAAATACAATCTTTTTCAGAAACTAGCGCTGAAAGATTTCTCATCGGAAGTTCGAGCGAATTTGGATATCGATATGTTCATTAAAGAAGCAACTCTGCTATTGGACCTGGATGGATCTACCTTGGAAGATATTATTAGTTCAATGTTAGAAGCAGTTTTTGATAATCGACCTATTGTCGATACAACTGCTACAGCATCAGTGACTGCAACAACTAATACACATGCTAGTGCCAGTTCCCCTGATGAGATCGATTCAAACCAGTGGTCTCGAACTTCGGCAACTGTTAGTAGTGGTTTTGGACCAAAGGTTAATTTCTCTATATCCGGCAATTCCGATAAAACAAATCCATCAAAAGTTGACGTAGAAAACATGAAGCTGGAAGCTAAAAATTCCCTTCTGATGCAAATAAACTTTCAAGGATGTTCATGTGAGTACTTCCAAGGACTAAAATATTCAGCCTTTATTTTTTTACATTTTAAACATGTGAAATCTTGAGTCATGTAAACGTGAAAAACCACTGATAAATATTCCTTGACTCTTCATTATTTGAGTAGAATTCACATATCAGGTAGTTCAGTTAATGAGAACAGAGACAGAAATAAATTCATATCATTCTGATAACTAAAAATTTCAGGTTAATGTCAAAATTTACTTGACTTTTTTTGAAGAGCATCCTAAGTATTTTGTTACTTCAAAGGAATGCTTTCTCTTCTTAAAGAAGTATTTATATAGCCATTTTATGCGGAACACATACTATAGCAGTGTAAGAGCCATTCTGATTGAAAGCTTCATTAACTTTAGACTCAAGTGACCTCGTTCTAACAGCAAATTATTGTAAGCACTTCAAAGTAAATTAATTTATTTCATCTTATATTGGTAGTATTGAAAGCTACTTTGAGTATATACGTCAATATTACTTTGTAACCGTTCGCTTACTAACCCTATGAAAGTCTGAGAAATCGATGAATTTTAAGAAGTATTACAAGAACTTATGTAGCAACACTTTGTAACAATATGTTGTCGTGTTTCATATACCTCGAAAACTACAAATATTTACAAAGTCAAATATCATTCAGTAAGTGCCTAATTACTTAATATCACCTAGTCAGAACTTCACTTCAATTTCCACTTGTCTCAATCTATCGAAAATACTTCGAGAAAAGAAAATTAGATTTCTTTTTGGAAAAAAAGTTGGAGATATTTTCATACTATGAAAGTGAAAAGTAGACATTTAAGGGTCAAGTGCCTTTTATTGGATAGTTGTTATTATAGCAAAGTGAAATTATTTTTACCTCCAACCAAACATTATTTGTGTCATTCTAAAGACATACGGCTAGATTAACCAACTGAGCTGGGATTATGTTAACAAAAATGATTAACCGCCGTCAAATCTACTTAAGTATCTGAAATTATTTGACCACCCAGCACAAACATATGAACACCCAAGTAAATTGTTTGCAAGATACATAATTGCTGCTGAAATGTGACCTCAAAACAACAAACTGTCATAGTTGAATGCTTAGTGAGAATATATATATACACACCAGGCAGATAAACAGTTTCAACATTGGGTTACAGATTTTTATTTTTGGATCGCTAATGCTTAGATGTGCCCAGATATTTATTTTTGGAAATTGTATTTTGTCGGTATAACCATAACAACTTAAGTCCTTCAAACCAAAAAAAACTATGACAAGTTACTTGCGAAAAATTCATGTGGGTAGGGTATGTATACTATGGACACAGACAACCGCTTCACTTTTCACACCCTTTCAAAATTTAAACCGAAATTACTCTTTTTCGTGAATGAAAGCAGCTCTACGAGCTTATTCCATTTTTTTATTTGTCATTTCAGAAGAAGTGTAATCCACTTTTGTCCGGAAATGTGTTCAAGAATATTTTTAACTGTTTTTCTGTCAGTGTATGTTTAGTCTGATTTCTATTATTATTTGCCAGTCAATATGTTACATAAGGCTGTAATGTTAATCGGATAACACACTACATTATTTTCTGACAGGAAAAAATATTGAGTGGTAAGTAGTGTTTCACTGTGTGCTGTAGCAAATGAAAAATGTAATACAGGACTTTACTCTGCTAAATAATACGTTTGCATTAAAGCATTCTAAAATTAAGTAATTGTCAACAGTAACTAACGTGCTTTCGCAAAAACACGTCGCATCATTACTCTTTACTTCCAAATAATGCCTGGCTATTGCGGTGATCAGCTGATGAGATTCTCAGAAAGCAATGTACACATCACTACTTTTTAAATGACTTCACAAACATTTTGTACAACTTTTCTGTGGTGCCTAGCTTGATAGTTTGTCAACTTACATTGTTAAACTAGTTGTAACAGCTTAATTATTAAACGGTGCACAATTATTGAGACTGCACTGCAAAAAAATTGACAGCATTTATCAGTTTATAAATGCGTAATTTCTCGTATGGTTACTTTACTTATTATTGTATTTTCCTCAGATCAGAGACTTGCGAAAACCATTAAAGGTGTTTCACTAACAAATAGTGATTGCTTATCGACAGACCAGAGTTGGATTTGTGCCATGTAAGTTAGTGTCAGATATTGCATATAAAATAAATTTCTTATTGATTTTTTCAGAAGCATTATTATGACTAATGTAGATTACTGCCTTTTTCGTCTCTCAGTATCTTAAAAATTACTTTTAAATTATGCTAGTGACATCATTGCTTCTTCTTTGTCCCATATGACTAAGCCTTGCAAAACCGCTACTATGTAACCAGTTAGACGTCCAACGTGGTAATACTTTACTTACATGAGGGTGAGATTATCATAAACAGTGGCAAATAAGATCAGATTTCTCAAGTCTTTGCTTCACCTTCACCAGCTCTGTTTATGTATTCTATTTCTCATATCAGTTACCACCCTATTTCTGTGACCAGTGTGAAAATACTGAAAAATTGCAAGGTAATTCATGCAGATATATATTTAGATAAAGTATTCTATTCAAAGCGTTTATAACTTTCGGTGTCACACGCACATACACGGTATTAAATGGTAATTATTAATTACGGGAATCGGTATCATCTCATTACTAGATTTTATGGCCTAAATTAGGTTAGACTATACTAGTTCGTCGAATCATTTCAGAAAGATTTGCAGTTTTTTCTCCTGTTTTAGTGACGACAAACTTTGTTATCTTGTGAAATTTGTTGATACAGTCAGACACTGTACATAATTGAAGCTTTGTTTTCAAGTACTATAATATGTAACACATCTCAGATTTGACTGTTGATATTGACTAACAAAGTAAACTTTACGCTCACTGTTTCACAGCAACGTCAAATTTATGTTCTGAATAACGATGACGACTCAGTTCAACTGTGTTTAACTTCTTTGTTACCTAAGTGTTTTGAAAACGGTTTAGAAGATCTTTTTAGACGCTGAGGACTTTGAAAACTGATGATTTAAACTATTATATTATGCACTAGTAGCTGAATATCCCATGATGGAATAAGACAAGAAATAAAAGAGAGTACATTGTGACAGGCTTGTGAAGACTAAAATGTCTCTGATATACGGTAATTGTGTAAACCATCAATTTAGCAGATATAGTTTCATTGATTCCTTTGAGAAATATAGCTACTTATTTCTGTAAGAAAAAAGAAATTTTTAACTTGGATTTTTTGGAGAAAATTCACTTTACGACAATTTAATCTATAGTTGATTTTATGCATGGTTTACTAGAATATTTAATAAAAGGTGCATTTTTTTGTGCATATGTTACAGTCATAACAACAAGTAGGAATCTTAAGGGCCAACAGTATTGCTTAAAATGATGTATGAATCACAAATTAATTTTTAAAATGGTGAAAAAGAAAGTAAAATTATACAGTGCATCGATATTAAACTTCTGAATAATGCTTCACTATATTTCTTTAGTTTGAAAAAAAATGTTTTATTCTCTACAAGGCACTGATAAATGATATCTCCTGGAATTCAGGATAACTGTAGACAGAACTTGCAGTTTTGAAAGCAATTATGTCCACTTAACTCAGTAGCTGATATAAATTATTTATATTTCAAATAATAAATTTAATCTTTTTTTATTAAATCAGGTGTTCATTACGATCAATTCATAAACGCTATCTTGCTTTAGCTCGATTGAGTAATCCAGTTAATTTTGGACGATCAAGTGAAGGTACCTATTTAATTGTACTTATAATAACACCGACAAAAGAGGTAGGTGTATTTTCACAGCATTCAGTTTTCTTTGACATAGACACTAACAGTACACTATAAGTAATAGCTTAGGCGATAAGTAGTTTAACAGATATTGTATTGTTATTTATTTAAAGAAAGCAAGGATAGAATCGAAACAGTAACCAGTTCTCAGACTAAATATTATTCTCATTATTATCCCACTGGGTCCCAAGTGGAACATAGGGCTTCAACAACATATCTCCCCTTTGTTCTATTTTCGTCTGTCCCCTTTATCCAGACCCACGATTGATCATAATCTCTCATATCCTCGCACGATCCCATCAATATCACCCTAGGACAACTCACTCATCGTTTTCATTCGGTTTCTATTCGAATGACGGCCTGGCGCGCGATTTCATTCAACGGTTTCCTCAGCTTCTGATCAACCCATCTCTGTTTTATTATACATATTTTTTGAGCACTGGGTTACTGGCTGGTTAACTGCCTCAGTTTCCTGTTGATAATTCTTTCAGGTTGGCCATCCGATCTTCACTGTGAAGCCAGCGAACGTAGCTGCTGATAAAAGTCTGCAGCTGGCTCTTCGAAGTGCTTCTCATGACACACCATGCACGTTTCTGACCAATATAGAAGAACTGATTGACTTAACATTGGAGTTGGTAACTCGAATTTTACTGTTTATACCGCGCAGTGCAGAAGATTTTCAAACTGACTCCTCAGTGACGGAGATCTGTTTTACCTTTCCGACCTTGTCTGGTTTTGACATCTTCATTCGTGCTGTATTCGTGCTGCATTCGTGCTGCATGTATTTGAAACGATGCTTCATTGGTGACAGTATACATCCTTTTCTTACTCTTGTATTCTTTCTAAAGGCCTTTCTGAGTTTTCTGTTGTGTATCACGTGGTAAATACCACAGTCACATAAATGTTGAATGAGGTTGTTACCGATTAAATACAAGTAGAACGAACTCTTCTTAAGTTTATTTCTGCCTGTGACATCTTAAAGGCAAGTAGTTGATTTCATGGTAGGCAGTCATCATGTGCGATCGCGACATAAATTTCCAAACTCAAGGAACTAAGGAAACCATTCTGCAGCAGAAGTGAGAAAAGTATATTTCATCACTTTCATTATTTACAGTTTCTACTAAAGTTACATTTAATTTATTCCATTACTTTAAAAGTGCATTTGACCAACTTGTAAAAGTCGATCTCATTTTGAGCCTCTGATTAAATTCAAACATGATCAGATGACACTGTAATGGAGTTTTCGAAGGTACCGTTTATCACTTCAATACTAAGTAATTTGTTTCAAGTTGTGAAGTAGAAATGAAAAGATGCTTCAAATTCATTAGGAAGACCGGTTTATCGTCACTATTTTTAACATTTACTGAAAGTCTAAAACTCAATGAATCAGCGTGAACAGATCACTACGAATTAACCAGATTCGTTTCATATCTCTAGATATTAGGGTCATGAATGGAGTAACTCTTGGTAATAAGTTAACGTAAAGCTAAAAATGGACTAATGTGTAACAAGATGTAACACACAGACATCTCTTATTTTACAAACTATAGCAAAATTTGTTGAAAAGAAGCGTCGTCATATTTAAAGTAAACGGAGATCCTTGAGTAGTCAGTATTATACCCTCAAACTGAAAAGTAAAAGGAAGTCTATTACAACTATTATCTGTTTCGAGTATTGACATCCATTTGTTTAAAAAGTTAGAAGACTCTCGTTTAATATCTTTTTCATTGGTTAACAATCACTTAATTAGATTCATTTTTTGTTTAAGAAAATGTGCATCTAAATACATTTAGTTTTTTTATATTCGCTAACCAGAAAGGCAATCTATATACCCAAAAATGAAGATACCACCATAGAAAAATTATATATATTGCGAGAAAAATACACTGAATAGTATTGAAACAGTACATATACGAAATGCACGAAACATCTACCTCAAAGGAATCTATCGATCAAGTATAGGGTGTAAATCACTAGATAGGAACGCCACTCGTCTTCACTGCATCAGTAGCTTATCCATTTTGAATGTACAAAAAATGATGTTGGATACAAAATAATTTCCTTCGCGTAAAAATGCACATACTTGGCTTTTTAAATTGGAGGATGACTTTCGAAAGCAACTTAAAACTTCCCAAATAGTTTTTGAACTGAATGTATTTTACTATGAGCACTATTCACAAGTTGCAGCCATTGAAAGTGCTCAGTTAAATATATCTTTTTTAAGTTTGTAAGAGATTCATGCTTACCTCGAAAACTGTATCTATTGTACTCAGTGTCGTATATCTGACTGAGAGAGATATGAGCCAAATTCAGTAATAAACTTTCACTTATACGTAATTACACTTAGTGAATGAATGAAGTATTTAATTTTACATACAAATATAAATTTGAATATTTGTTAATTTAAGAAAGGGACGAAAAGCGAAATAGAAGTTGGCAGAACATTCGGCACAATAATGGCTGATCCTGAATTTCGTCAAGAATTATTATTTGCAACCAATGAAAATGAGGTGAAACTACTTCTGTGGGCGAGAGCTCAGCAGCTGGCAGCTGAGCAGTCAACAAAAAGGCGTAGATCATCCCAGTTTCAAGATTCTACAAATCAGAACTTTAACAAAGTAAGCTGAAGATAAAATAAAAATATTGATTTGTTGATATTTATGAATAAGCATTTTTTTCAAAAATTTCACCGACTGATTTGACTTAGAAACTAAACCTGCCAAAAACTCAATGAAAACAATGTGTTGGTGAACAGATTTCCCTAAATGTAACATTCTTCACTCAAGTGACGTAAAATTACACATTTTTACTTACTATGTCAATGAAAACTTATTGGATTTTCTGTGGAATTATTTTCTTTTCGTTATTTTACCTCTTCGAGTTCCGAGTGGAGTGTAAAGCTCCATGCTTTTTAGTTTCAGTAAAGATGACGCCACTTTTACGGAGTGAGGTTTCTAGCCTCACTCTCAATCTTTAGTTTTTCCCGATCCATCATCACTCTGTGGGCTAGACGAGTTTCAGGAATGCGTGCGTTGCCCAAGCCATTCACATTCTCCATAACAAACTGTGAACATTTTTAAATTTAGTGTCCCTAAAGAGATAGACATTTGTGATTAACTCAGAAATTGCATCAAAACGGTTTTCCACGAATAACATACTGGGAAACATGTAGACCTGGAAAAGAGGTAATTGTATGGGAAATAACTATTATAATGCGAGAAAATCCGATTCAAATTTGCAGATAGAAACAAACAAGACAAACTGTAAAATGTGATTTTTATTAACAGAAAATCTGAAGGAACATCCGCCAAACGTCTCTTCTTTTTGAAAATACATACTACTTAGTAACACCAGAAAGACCAACAGTTTAGTCAAAAATAAATATCGGAAACAATAAGTGGCTTTAAAAAAGCTGAATCTCCAAGAAAATAAGAAAAATAGCATTAGAAGTGACTTAGGACTTCTTTCCTTACACATACCCAAAATATTTTGATCGACAAATTAAGTTAATGTCACCTCGACAATAAACCACTTACTGTAATTATGATCGCTGAACAAATTAGCAACTTGTTTACAATTAGAACGACAACAGTAACAAAATTATTGTTATTATAATTGTTATCAGCTAAATAGATATTATTCAAATCCAGTTTTATTTGTTTACTCATTATCCGTTTTATAGATAATAAGTGGTTTATATTCTCGCAGGTTTCACATACTTATTTCATGTACATAATTCTGTTATTGTTAATCTTCTTATAGTCATTAGATGAGAGTACTGTTTATTCTGTGCCGAAAATATATAATCAGTAAATGACGAATACATAACATTACTATCACTACTAATATTTTTTTTTCTTGATATCAAAGACGTTTAAAACAACGCTTCTAATGGCATTATAATCGTCTTCTTCAATGAGTTTAGGAATTTAATCACAAGTGCATAAATGAATGCTGTATTAAAATTTAAGTAGAGATGCTATCAAAATAAGCGCTTCATGCTGAAATGAAGGCCTTTGACGTCTTCAACCGTGAAGTAATCTGGAAACCGTTTGGAAACTACAGGGTGTCCTAAACTTTCATAATCCACATTCAACATCTATATGATAATGCCACATGCCATGTGATTCACAACAGAAACCTCATCGAAACCTTTGAAGTGAAGACAAGAGTAAGACAAGGCTGTCTGATATCACTGGATGAGACAGTAGACCATGGGAGTGACAAGATAGGAATACGTTGGATCAGTAAGAAGAAACTGGTGAGTCTTGACTTCGTTGATGATTAGTGTCTAATGCCACACAAACACTAAGATACGCGAAAGGAAACCAGTATGTTGGTAGAAAAAGAAGCGAAGACAGGACTTAAAGTGAACACTAGGAAGTTAGATGTGATGAAGACACCTAACCAACGACAACAGGCATCAATCATTACCAAAAGGAGAAATTTGAAGGAAGTTACTTCCTCCACTTACCTAAAGAGCATCGTTTTAACTATAGGCTTCGCAGATGGGATGTCAAAGGAAGGAATGGGAAACAAAGACACACCTTTATTAATCCGAAATCAGTGGGGAAATCTGATGCATCCAGCACAAAGAACAAGATTCTAAATTTCAACACCAATATCAAATCAGTGCTTCAGAGACAGTGCGTGAGGTAAAGTATTTCTAACAACCTGACGACTTGCGTCAACAGCTGCCTTCGCTTCATACGAAAGATCAGATGGCCGGTCACAAAGAAGTAGCAACAAAGGACTCTGAAAACGGACCAACCAATAACCGATTGCCCAACAAATATCAGACACACATATACCAAAGAGACCATTGCCTGACATCACAAGCCAGATCCAAGAGTGCAACCCATCGGTAACATACATAGTACTTTGCAGAGATGAAGTGAAAGTTTATGGACAATTATGAAGGCAACTATAAAAGACTTCAGAGAACAAAGTGAAAAAGTGATGTAATACTGAAGCCACATATCCCTCTTGGAACCCAAGAGAATATTTCTAATAATTACAAATGAGTTTAATTGTTACTCGACTGGATAGGTTTAACAGTTCAGACGTTTTCGCATAACTGTTATTAACTTAATTTGTTTTATTAGCAAAATCAATAAGCGTGTAGCAAAACGACTGACTTTTGTAATATATTACATGTTTGATGCAGTAAAAAAGAAATATAAATAAAAGTCAATCCACTTTTAATGCTGTCAGTCCTTGTGAGTCGGCAAACATTCTAGTGTCAGCATGAATGCGAAAATTAAGGTATGCTATTAGCATAGTTTTTGTCATATTGCCAAAATGGAAACAATATAAACTGTCACTTTGTATCTGAACCAAGAAGATATAAATAGTAAACATAGTCTAGTGAAAATAAAAAGTGATTATTAAATGATACAGATGTGAATGTTAGCTGCTGTAAACAAATTTAGCAAATAAAATAATAATAATCAGATAGTCACATACCTTTCTTTAATTTAATATATTTTCATGAACCGTACTCAGTTATAGTATCAATGGAAGCCAGAGACCACTGAACAGCTGTTTCGCTCTAGTTCGGAAGCCTTCAGAGGTGAGCACACGTGACACCACGTGAGATCGCACACAGGACCTTCATTCTGCTATCCAAATCTTTTGATCATTTAGCCACTAGACTGGAATTCACTTACTGCGCACTTCAAAATTCTGGTGTACAACATTTCCTTAGTTGATATCAGCTCGTGACGAAAACTGCACTGAAATAAAATAATCCTCTAAAATTTGAGATATTGATATCCTGTATGTTAGTTATAGTTGGCGTCCTGAAGTTCTAGTGGTAAGGTATGACTAGTGAGGTCTGGCATGTTGAATGTGGAGCACAGTCTCATTTGTGGTACTGAATGACACAAGGGGCGACTGAAAAAAGTTAATATTCCTGTTTTGCTCAACTGCAAGTCATTGCGTACCTGAAAAGCATGCTCATTTTATCAACTGAACATCTTAAATCTGATGCCTGATATCAGAAGTGTGCACTGGTGAAGAGTTCAAAATAGGGACAAAACAAGATATACATCCGTCTTTGATTTAATCTACATCAAAATGTCTGTATCTTTAGTATCTAAATTTTTCAGTGTACAAAATGAATGAATTAACTGTTGATGATGAAGTATTGATGTAGTAAAAGTGTCTTTCATTTAGAATTCAACTAACACCGGACACAACACATCTTCTAAAACAAAACTTATTAAATTTAAGAAATGTACACAAAGGTTGTATTACTTTAATGTCACATTTTTATTTCTTCAGCTACAATCTACATTTCATTTAATTCTATGCTTCTGGGATTAAATTACTTTTACTAATTAGTGTTGAGGAGACATAAGATCTACACCGTATGTATGTGATCTTTTGAAGATCTTCAAAATCTACAAAATCTTGGTAACAGAATCTTTATGTGGAATTTGATATCTCTACACCTTATCTGCAAATCGTCATTCGCACGTATCTTTCGCGCTGTGCAATTCCTACCTTTCGTATTGTGTTACTTTGTCTTCTCTTCGTGTTTCCCAAGTTTCACCGCAGCACTAGTTCATTTGTTCTCTTTGACTTCAAGTCTGTCGCTCCGCTTCTCAATATTTTTGTGCTGGCAAATGTCTTCTCATATACCTCTGATAAATTTTGTCGATAGCACACACCACAGGAACTAACAACAATAAAATCTGATGTTTATAACATAAACTTTATGCTGACCTGACTTGTTCACTGGCATTATAACAAATTATTGCTTTCCAGTTTTGTGCTTCTTAGTTGAAAAGTGGATTGAGATGTAATGACAGTGTAGTTTGCCCATGTATATGATATTCAAAGTAATGGGATTAAACACTCAAATCTACTGTCAAATGAACATGATTGTTTTAGTCACTGAGTGAATAAGTTGACAAAAAGGTAATATTGTATGTAATCAACGATTATAAATTACCTTATTTGGTTGGTACACATTACATGTAGGAAAAATGAACTTTTCGTGCATAACCATCCTCTGGCTTGGAAACTTTACAAACATTTATATTATAAAAAATGAATACATTCATGAGATACGTTTTCTCAAAGGCTTCAAAAGAAATCTGTCGTATAACAATAGGCGTTCTAATTCACTGAATCTTAACATTTTTCCATGACTCTTTGTTCTAGTTAACCTATTATCAGTACTAAGTTTTATTTCAACATTTCTAGGAAAAATAAAAACAACATTTCAAAAGATGAGATATGAATTCAAGCTACTTGCTATTACAATAAGTTCACCAAAGTGCCTGAGTCCTGAAATATCCAGTATTATTATTATTATGGCATAAAAGTCATCACCCATTGACCTACAGATTTTTTCTACTGTGATATTTTATACTATGAGTGGCTGTGAACTTATAATGCTTTAACAGGTAAACAGATTATCAAAGTACAATTTACCAAATATTCTGTAAACATGGGTGGAAATTAAAGAACTCGGTACTTAATTTCATTTAAAGATTAAACTTAGTACCATAAAGGTAAGCCTCATAAAACCCAAAGCTGAACCACAACTCACGATAACTTGAATAGCAAGCGTCTGATACTAATTGTATAGGATATTTTGACTGCTGACTAGTGTAAGACAATTTAGTAACACAATGAGTAAAGTAGTTTTGTAAAGTTCTGTGTTAATTGATGAATTTATTTTTCTAGGATTCTCAATCCATGATAGGCAAAGGAATATACCTAGACTTGAAACGGAAAATACCATATTATTGGTCCGACATAACTGAAGGTACGTAGCATTTTTGTGACATTTATTTTGTAAATGGCTTTGAAATAAAACATTGTATGATTTGACAAAATGAATATATATATATATATAAACATAAACAGGATTTCCAACTATACAACATTATAGGTTAATCCAAAGATTAAGCTGACAGTATGAATAATAAGACCAATGCTCAAACATAGTGTTCTATTCCAAAGGCCATATTTATCTACTGATTCACTTAACGTCTAAACTTAGTATTACATAATGTAGTCTTCGAGATTATTTAGATTTCTGTGTTGAGTAATTTTACTCTAAAACCCAATCTGTCACTAACAAAAGTACTAAGGTATTCCAGCTGAGTGACGAAACAGAATAGAGGTTCAAAAATATGTGTCGAGTCAGTCAACGAATTATTTGTTAATCAAGAATGTCTTATTCTGTCGATTTTAGTGGAATATGTAATGTAATTTAGTTTAAAAAGGAAGATTATAAACAAAGCAAGACAAAAAGGCCTATTTATCAAACACTGAAGTGACAGAATGACAATATAACTGTAAAAATTAAATACAACGTTAGGACAATCTCTCAGTATAGAAAGATACCAGAACTTAAAGGGAAAACAGCGCAAAAACCAAAATAATGCGTCGTATTACTTGGCATGACGTTGATTGATTGATATAAATCCACTCGTTTCGACTAGTAAGTGCATTTTACGCTTCTGTTACACTTTAGTTCAGAGAGTATACACAGTGCATGACCAAAATCTTAAATGATTTCTTAAAATAAATTACCAGCCATCGTGTTTCTATTCAGCCGTGTTTTTTTTAAATGAATTAGTGCACTCTGAATTCTTCATTTTTTGTGTTTTAAAGTGCAGAGTGACTACGGGTATTAAAAACCTAAAGTGACAGTTTCACAGTATTTATTATGTCTGAAGAATGCACTAATTGAAATAAGCTGACAGAGAATTTCGGAACCGTCATCCACAGTATTTGATAATTTTCCTTACACAGAGAAGATTCATTTTTTTGGTTAATGATGCTTTTTCGTAGCAGTGCATACGCCGTAGTCGAATTTTTCTATTTTTCCACCTATCTCATATTTCTGATATCAAAGAAACATGACAACACATTTTTTGGAGGTAAATAAAGTAGTAAACTGGGGATTAGTTATAATCATGCATCTCGAACAGAGATCTACAAGGCCTGTTAATTGATAACTTTCCTATTTCCTAGTATTGAACTATTAATATTTGCTTAAAATAACATAGACACACTTCCGCTTTTTTCACATTCTTTCTAAAAATTTAAGGTGTTCGTGGAAAACATTCTCTACGTAAAACAATATCAACAACCATTTTCCTTTATTTTGCCTGTTTACTACCATCAATCGCGTTTGGATTATTGAATTCAAGGAATACAGAGAAAAAAATGGGTAAGAAATAAGAAGTAAAATGAAAATGTGAATGTATCTCCTCCCCTTTCCTTTTACTTTTCTTAATTCTTCTTTCCTACTTCAGTGTTTCAGTTATTGAGCTAATAAGTAAGGAATTTTGTTCCATGCTTTCCTCCAGCTGTGTTTTCAGTCTTCTTGTGCCTGCCTTCTCTGCCTACTTTAAAAATTTCATAGTTTCACTGTTTAACAAGAAATATTTTTTAGCGATTTTGTTTGTTTGATTTATTTTGACATTAATTCACTAAGGATTTACGTTTTTGAAAAAAATAACTAATTTTGTGTACGTCAAAGATACACGATAGTTAGTAAAGATAATTTCAATGTCAAATGAAGTTAACCGGTTTGAAGTTCATTTAGGCCATTCAATGGAATGTCATCCCTAAGCCAACTAACAGGAAGTAATTATGGCAGTCTTCATTTTTCAACAAACTTTATATTTCGAAATTAATAAATATATTGAGTAAATGCAGTCAGCCATTTAGTTTTTACTGAGAAAATATCTGTAAAATTCGGTCTTAATAACTTACGAAGAAGATTAATTCAAAACAAGAGCGTTATCATGCCATCTTTACTTTACAATAACAAAACTAATTCATAAACCAGGAATAAAATTTGAATTTGGGCATATATAAATAATAAGCTGGGTTGCAGGTGTTCGAGTTGCAGTTATGTAACAATAAAAAAGTCAGAGAACTTGACAATGCTGATTGTGGTCACGTATGAAATAAATTATTTAAATGATGGTAGCAACTACCTAGTGACCTCCAATTTTACGTCCATCCCTAAGTGATTTCATTTTACTACAGTGATGGTGTTTTTCGCATGTTATAACCTGTTTTTTCACTCAGTAAATGTGAGACGAGTAGTGTTATCGCATTCGCATAATGATCACATTCACGGTAATGTAAACTTACTGAAAACTTGTATTTCTCATATTGAAAAACTCATTACTGAGTAAGTAAAATAATTATATGCATAACAAATAATAGGGAATAATGTTTTAATTGGTCGAAGAGTTGTACTGGGAGGGGCACCATGTTGTGAATAAGAAAATTAACTAAGCCTGTTTCATCCTCTAAAACATGTGTGATTTACTAGCTGACCCTAAGCCCGAATGAAAAGAGACAATTGAGCCTGAAGTTCACCACCAAAATCCGGGAAATCGGTCCATTTATTATAGAAACGCTAGAGGACAGAAAAAATAACTTTTTCTTCACTGGAATTGGGGAGGCGGGAAGTCAGAGGCTGGTGAAAACCCTCTGTAAACCAGTCCATCAATATGTCTTCTTTTGAAGAAAGAGAAATTGAACATGAGAACTTTTTATGCCCGCACAATGTTTGAAGCTGCACAGGCTGCTTAGACTGCAAAACTATGAGGATATATCGCATAAAAGTGATAGAATTCCGTCAGGGTAGATTGACCCTTCAAATTGTTGACTGAAGAGCCAGTTGTCCACTGCAGTCAAACAGAATACAATCACGCAAACACTGAGAGATGGTCGTCATGATGTGGCCAACGTCATCGACAGCTCTTATGCAGTGGGACAAAACCTCCTTCAAGAGTATGACAGCAAGATCTGACCCGGAAGGTAGGAAAGTCACAACTCTCTTATACTAAATGCCTATGAACAACGCAAAGCAAAAGAAGATTTTTACAGGCAACTGAGAAATACAATGGACTAGACCTCCAAATGGCGATATCAAAATCTGATGCGCGGCATAAGTGGGATTTAACTAGGAACAGACAACACAACAATAAACACCATGATTTGAGTTGCGCCACCTCTATAGTAGTTCACTCTTCATTAAATTCATTTATTCCATGAAATTCAATTGTGAACATTGCGCAGTCTGTCGATATTAGTTTTTCCAGCAAATATTTTACTAAGAGATTTTCTCTGATTAAATCAGAAACCCTAGACATCGAATAAGTTAAGATTAATTAAACTGGATCAGTTTTACAAAAGTTAGCTTAACTAATATAAGTGAAGAGATGGAATATTACTAACCGATCATCCGTTTCTGTTCCATCAACTTTACATCATTTGTCTTCATTGCTTTCGTTCCGAGTGAAACATAGGGCTTTACATTTTTGAAGTCCCAGTATTGGTGATGTTGGTTTTAACAAACGAGGTTGCAGACCTCACACACAATCTTCTCTCTTTTAAGATTACTATCGCCTGGTAAAGTAGGCAGGGTTAGGAAATGTGTCAGCTGGGAGAGCAACCCGCACTTTGTGCGCGTTAATGGCCAGCATTCTACCAATTAACCACTGATGCCTAGCAGAATCATAAAAGTGAATTCTACACTGATTTAAAAAGTTTTGAAGTGAAGTCACGTAATTTGAAAACAGAATGAAAATCCTAAAGATGGATGTCATATTTCAGACATAAAAGTGAAGGTTGGTGGTTCAATCGACAACAAGACGATTAATCGAAAACTTTGTTGTTTTCAAATTAAAAATTGTCTAAAAATTGGATAAAAGTAAGCAGGGAAAAATATTTTCCAAAAATAATTCTTTCATTTTCAATGAACCAGACCTCTGCGTAGGCATGAAATATATATGTAACAAATTAAAAATCATTATGAATAATTCAACGAAAGAGCACCAGCAGTTAATAATTATTGAGAGTTATTGATCCTACTGAATTAACCTCAGTAGGTAGACTTATCCCAATCTACACAGATGACGGTGCATAATTACGAGAGCGTGGCTTTTTCATCTGTATCCCACTGTGAACAAGGTTTTTTTATTGAAAAAATTTCAGACTCTGTACTTCAGCTTTATTAGTCTTTTATCACTAAATTTATTTTTAAATTTTCAGAAATGAGATTCATATGGGAAATATACTTTATTCCTTTACCTAAACTTCTGAATCTTTTTAATTAAGTTTCACTCATCAGACTATTTCTGCAGATGAAATGCAAATTTAAGAAATTAACTCACCTATTTTCAAAGTTTTTCTCGTTTACTAAAATTAACGTGAAAAGTAGATAACAAAACATTTTTCAGACTACCTTTGAATGACTACTGATATTGACGGAAAAAATGATTCGATAAGTAATAAATAACAATCATTTTGGTATTTTTCATTAAAAAAATGTTCACGGACAGAATAAGTTAAAAATTCTTTTTACTTTGAAATCAACTTATCATTCCCTGAAATAGGGGACAAATGTTATGAGATATTATCTCGGTGCAGAAGGGCAGTACCAGCAGTACAAAGGACAAGAAAAACTGAATCAAAACATAGTGTGAATGAAAATGTAAAACTAACAGTGAAATTAGAAAATAAAACGCCAGTATTAACGGAATGTAAAACTCTACTCTTTGAAAATGCTGACTGAACTGAGAATTTAACACAATATTCCTAATTTAGCACAAACAGTCTATCAAAGAAAGGTTGTTCAATTCACTGTATATTTAAATCGTCATCTGCAACTCATCCAGAAATACTACCAGCAGCAAGCACTGCTACTGATATCCGTAAAGGCAGCAGGACCGGACAGAATTCTTTCTGAAGCACTGAAAACTGATTCAGAGACCTCAGCTGAAATGCTAAGCCATAACTGCAAAACGTTTGGGAAGAAGGAAAGGTACCTACCGATTGGAAGTAAGGTGAAACTACCAAAATAGGGTGAGTTTGATGGGTGTGCTGCGTTCACTTCAGAACGCGAGTCGACCATGGCATTTCCATTCCTCGACGTACTACTTACCAGAAGACAAGACTGTACAATTCAAAGATTGATCTATCACAAACTAACATGGACGGGCCAGTTTATCAACTTCCAGGGCTTCGTCCCACTGATCCGAAAGCGAAACCTGGTACGTACATTAAGTTCAAGGATTAGAAAAATCTGTTCGGAAGACATGATAGAGAAAGAAATTTATTTATTACGTGAAGCCCTACTAGAGAATAGGTACCGACCAACATTCATAAGCAAAAATTTGAAAGAGAAGCCTCCGTCGCCAAAAATCACAACTGTTCCAAATAAACTTCTCTTCATGAACCTGGATTTCATAGGTGACATCGCAGCAGAAATTCTTAGAAACCGCCTTTCTAAATGTCTGAAGAAGAAATTTCAAGCAGCCATCCTACGTATCACATTCTCCAGCAGACAGTTAATCCAGTCTAACGTTAAGAAGGGAATACCGCTTTTGGCCACCTCATTGTGTATTTATGAGTTTACTTGTTCGTGTGGAGCAAAGTATATTGGCCGTACGCAAAATTACATCCACAAACGTATTCTGGAACACTGTCCAGCTTGGTTAGCCAGAAGAGAATAGAACAATAGTAGCAGATGCATCATCGAACACCTTGTCAACTCTGGACATCGAGCAGCCCCGAATGAATGCTTCACATTGCTACACAGAGTCCCTCAGTATAGGTACAAAGGGACTTTGCATACGCCATCTGTACATAGCTGAAGCATTAGCTATTCGTGAATTGAAACCGGACCTCTGCATTCATAGGCGCTACATACATTCACTCGCCCTAACGTGACCAGAGTAAAGATCTCGCTATAATTTTGCTTCATTTTATTATTTAAGTTTACTATTATTATTGTTATTACTACTATTACTCTATTATCATTATTATTCCCATCATCTATATTTTAATACCACTCTATTACTGTTTATTAATAACATTGCGTTTTCAAACAGATTTTATATAAAAACACTTTATCACCTTTCCACCAGTTCTTGTCGATTCTACACGAGCTTGTTGATTGGTCATTATCTCACACTTATTAAGTCATGCCAAATTCTACCTCTTTTCTAACTTACGATTAGTCATCCCTTCTAGGTTGCACCTTACATTACGTAAGGCATTTTTCGAGGACAGAGTTTACTAGTATCTGATTGGTCTAATGATTTCTTTGTTAACTTTAATTACGATCGCACAGATAATGAAAATGAATCGTCGAAAAGAAAATTTTCTTCGCTGTTGACGTCTTTTTCTTATTTATGTTGTCAA